GCAGGAGGAGCAGCTGGAGTGCTGCCGAGTTGGTCCGGTAGCGCCGACCCTTGGTGCGGTGAGACCAACCCGGCAGCCCCCCAGCTGCTCTTGGGGATGCCTGGGGCAGAGCAGCTGGGGTGCTGCTGGGTTGGTCCCGCAGCGCCACTCCTTGGTGCTATTGAACCAACCCGGCAGCACCCAAGCTGCTCTGCCCCAGGCGTCCTGATTCAGCCACTGCTGATACTGATCAGCGGCTGACTCCAGGAAGCCCGAGGCAGAGTACTTCTGGGTTCCTGATGGTGCCGGACCATCAGATGCCGGACCATCAGAGTTTTACTGTATTATTATTTGGTTAAATAGAGCTTGTGATCAAGAGAGTTTCTAAATCTGATCACATCTACCAGGAAACCTGATTCAGTTGATCCCTCCAAAAACAACTTGTGAAAACATTTATCCTCCCCGCAGATTTGAGGCTTCACGCAGGCAGTAGGGTAGAAAGCTAGAAATGAAAGTTTCTGAAGTTAAAAAAACCCCTCTGTCCTCCAGTGATTATTTTTGAGGGGTATTCACTCACAGCTCACCCCATTTTTTTAGTTATATTAGTTAATTGTTAGCCAAGACTCATTAGTTTTGTCTAAAATGACTAGTATAATTCCAAGAATGCCTAGAAAAAGGGCAATAAAGTTGGCTGGAAGGAACCCTAAGAAGTCATCTAGTCTAGTCCCAAGTGTTGAGGCAGGACTAAATATAACAACCATTCCAGATAGCTTTTTGTCTCATCTATTCTTGAAAATGACCAGGGATAGGATTTCCACAATCTCACTTGGAAGCCTATTCCATTATTTAACTGTCTTTATAGTCTGAAGCTTTTCTTAATATCTAACCTAAATCTCCCTGGTGCACATTAAACTGATTACCTTTTGTCCAGACGTATAGACCAACTGATAACTGTCCTTTTCTATAAACAGCCCTTAACATATTTGAAAAAAACTGATCAGATACCTCCCTCCCCAATCAACTTTGCTTAAGAGTAAATATGACCAGGTTTTTAAGCCTTCCTCATAGATCAGGTTTTCTAACTCTTTTATCATTTTTATGGCTCTCTTCTGGTCTCTCTCCAATTTGTCCACATCTTTCTTTAAGTGTAGAACCCAGAACTGGTCATAAAACTCCAGCTGATGCCTCACAGGTACTGAGCAGAGTGGGGACAATTATACTCCTCTCAATAAACCCCAGAAAGTTATTAGCCTATTTTGCAACTGCATTACATTATTTACTCATTCAATTAGTGATCCAGTACAACTCCCAGGTCCTTTTCAGCAGCACTAATGTCTAGCCACATAGATTCTCCATTTTCCTATATACACATTTGATTTTTCCATCCCAACTATAATACTTTGTACTTGTTTTTATTGAATTTCATCTTGTTCATTTCTGATTTAAAAAAAATGTATAAAGGTAATTTTATATTCTAATGTTGTTCTCCAAATATGGTATGACTTAGCTATCTGACAGTGAACACTACTATGAGTACTGTTTTCCAGCCAGTTATGCATCCACCTTAGAAGGAGGCAGTGACATCTAATGGACTGATAGTGGACTGGAAGCCAGGTTCTGCCAATGACTATGTAAAAATGGGCAAGACACTTAATAAATTCTATGGGCCAGATTCTCAACTGCATTCAAAGAGGGCTGGGTGCATCAAAGGGTCAGGGGCAGAGTGCACATCACAAAGGAGCCCTTGTGGAGGGCAGTTCTGTGACCAGTATGGTTTCTGGCACAGATTACAGTAGCCAACACCATTTTCCACAGAAACAGTATCTGCAGCCATGGGTCATCAGAGTGTAGCGATACAAGCACATTCCTTTCCCCAGACATACACCTTATGGTGGGGATTGGGAGGAGGTGCTGAAGGAGCCACTATGGATTTCCAACATAATTTCAGTCCAAAAGGGAATTCCCTATGGGCTAGCTTTAAGCGGCTTTGCAGCAGTAAACCAGAGTAAACTTGCCATAGTGGGCTTGAGAATAGGTCCTGAGACTGACGTGCCATTACTCTGCATCTTGTACAGCATTTATATCTGAAAAAAGCAAGAGTAACGTGGGTTTAAAGCACTATAATTCTAATTGCTAGCATTTGTCACTCGCACTGCATGGGTGCAAATAGCTGCACAAGGTGCAGTGAAACAATCGTAGAACACTAGAACTGGAAGGGACTCTGAGAGGTCATCGAGTCCAGTCCCCTGCCCTAACGGCAGGACCCAGTACCATCTAGACCATCCCTGATAGATGTCTATCCAACCTGCTCTTAAATATCTACAGAGATGGAGATTCCACAACCTCCCTAGGCAACTTATTCCTGTGTTTAGCCACCCTGACAGTTAAGAAGTTTTTCCTAATGTCCAACCTAAACCTCCCTTGCTGCAGTTTAAGCCCATTGCTTCTTGTCCTATCCTCAGAGGCCAAGGAGAACAATCTCTTTCTCCCTCCTCTGTGACACTCTTTTAGATACCTGAAGACCGCTATCATGTCCTTTCTCAGTCTTCTCTTTTCCAAACTAAACAAGACCAATTCTTTCAATCTTCCCTCATAGGTCATGGTGAATTAGGCTGTATATGTACTATTTATAAGCCTTAGAGGGCTACAGGGAGGGTAAGTCAATAGTTGTACAGTGCTTTGAAGATGAAGAGCATTAAATAAATCCAAGAAAAATACAAGGTTCATTATTCAGCAGATACTACAAAAAAAATCTCACTGTTTGGCAGCCAAACCCATTGGCAACACCATGTTTATAAGATCCAATGGACGTCAAACCCAGCGTGTATGGACTGGCTCCATGGTATCCTCCTCTGTGTCAACAAAGCACACAAACAACATTTATTGTCTTCTGAATCCACTAGCTGCAAAAGTTTTTAGGAGGAAACAATATCAGTATTCACAGAAGGCTGCTTTCTGAAGTGTGAGTGTAAGACAGCTAATGACTGGAAAACATAGGTGCACCCAATAAGGGATACCTCTTACCCAATCCATCACTCTATTTTGAGTGCCTACCAATTGTGAGTTTTCATTGCAATTTTAAGCGCACACTGAAATAATACATTAATTTAGTGGTTCTGAAGGTGAAGTGCTAAGAAAACTGATTGGGGCCAATGGTAACTTAGGTAGGTGGTGTGCAAGCTTCCTCATGCAGGTCAGCCAGAACATCTGAATCCTACAGAACAAATGCTCCTGCTGTTATGGGAATTAATATATTGGAAAGATTTCAGACAACATAAAGCATTACATAAATCCTTTGTTGAGCAGAATGGCTGCAAGACTACCAGTTTGTTAAGACCTGCATTTTTATTTTTAAAGGTGGCTATTACCAAGATATCCAAGCAGAAAGGATGTTTATATTATTTTAAAAATTGCACTCTCTTTCCTTAAGGATTAAAAACAGAAGTTATAGGTCCTAGGTCAATGCATGGCTTGTAAATGGAGTATTTCTAATACAAGCAGACTTATTGAACCTTAACTCCTGATTAATACTGCTGTTTTACTCTATTTTAGGAGATAAGAACAGCCACAATGGGTCAGACCAAAGGTACATCTAGCCCAGTATCCTATGTTCTGACAGTGGCCAATGGTGGGTTCCACAGAGGAAATGAACAAAACAGGTAATCATCAAGTGATCCACTCCCTGTTGCCCTTTCCCAGCTTCTGGGAAATACAGGCTACGGACACCATCCCTGCCTAACAGTCATTGATGGACCTATCCTCCATGAATTTATCTAGCACTTTTCTGAATCCTGTTATAATCTTGGCCTCCACAGCTTTCACTGGCAAAGTTCCACAGGCTGATTGTCCATAGTGTGAAAAAATATTTCCTGTTGTTTGTTTTAAACCTGGCACGCATTCATTTCATTTGAGGACACGGGGTATGTCTAGACTACATGGCTCCATCGACGGAGCCATGTAGATGAGTTTTCTAGACATAGGGATTTAAATAATCGCTGCTTCATTTCCATCAAAATGGCTGCCGCGCTGTGCCGATCAGCTGTTTGGTGGCACAGCACGGTAGTCTGGATGCTCTACGGTCAACAAGGGAAGCCATTGGGCTTCATGCCTTGTGGAATGAGGTTTACCGGGGTGGTCGACAAGGGCTTCCAGACTACCGCGCTGTACCGCCAAACAGCTGATCGGCACAGCGCAGCAGCCATTTTGATGTAAATGAAGCGGCAATTATTTAAATCGCCGCTTCATTTCCCTTCTTTGAGTATACTCATCTACATGGCTCTGTCAACAAAGCCATGTAGTTTAGACGTACCCCTAGGGTACATCTATGCTGCATGGTTATTTCAAAATAAGCTATTCTGGAATAGTTATTCCAAAATAGCTTATTTAGAAATAGCACATCTACACTGCAGGAAAGCCTCTAAATTAGTCCAAGGCAACATGAGATAGGTGAGATAAGTAGATATCTGCACACAGTATTGTGGATGTGGGCACACTACAGATTTATACAGAGGCAACAGGACATTCTGTCTTATCTATTCCTTTCTTAAATGCCTCCCGTCATAGTTACCTTTTTTGACTACTACTGCACACCGAGTGGATGTTTTCAGTGAACTATCCACAATGACTCCAAGATCTCTTTCTTGAGTAATAACTAATTTAGACATACAAATGAATGACTTAGGATGTGTCCGGGGCAGAATCTGGTTAACAAGATCCCATCTTGTTTTTCACATATTATTTATGCAAGCAGGGTCTGAATCAATGCTTCCATTACAGCCAGCTGGAATGGTAAAAACACATCCAGGATTTTTATGTAAATAGTTTGCCCCTGCTTTGCTTAGATGTGTTATATTTTCAGCTGTTAGAATGGCATTTTGTTCATTGTAATCAACTTGACTGTTATTGGGTCACAAACTATGTTAATACTAATTGCACTGTCTATAATTATTGGGGAAATATAAAAGAAGAAAGTCTGTGCTTAACTTGGCACAAAGGAGGGAAACATTCTCAGTTTAAAGAATGAGATTTTGGGTGTGTGCATGTAAATACAATTCACTCATTTTTTTAGACCTGCTAGATATTCAGCTGTTAAAATGGTGTTTTGCCTATTGTGACCAATTTGGCTGTTGTGGGATCACAAACTGTGTTAACACTAAATGCAGGAATTGTGAGATATGATCCCCAATATTTGCAGTTATTGTGAGAATACAGAAAAGTCACTGTGTTTAACTCAGTTCAAAGGAGAGAGACTGTCAGCATAAAGAACCTCAGATGAACAAGGGTTTCCCCTGACAAAGCCCTGTGATGTTAATTGGGGAGGGCAGGACTCTGAATCAGCAGGCTGAATGCTCTCCGGGAGTGAGATGTAAGATTGGTTCAATGATAGAACAGACTCCATAAAAACTCTCTCATTATTTTAAATTTACTGCAGTCGACACTGAAATTTCTTGCGGCTGGGACTGTGCTTTGGGCTAATAGCTGAAATCACAGAGTCCAGAGCCAACTCCACCACATGCCAGTGGAAGAGGTGATGATGAGCAGCCAGCAGAGCGGCAACAGCACAATGAGCAGCTGACAGAAAGGCAGTGACAACAAGGTGCAATGAGTGCCCAACAGAACAGCAGCAGTGAGGTGAACCCAATGGCCAGCAAGGCAGTGGCAGAGAGCAGGTGGATGGCGAGTGATCAGCGGAGAGAGTAAGATGCCTCCTTACCTCCCCACTCAGGGTGGGAGGGGAATCCTACAGAGAAAGGTTGGGCATGTGAAGGGGACATTTACATTGTGGGCTTAAGAAGTGGAGATGAAAAGAACATTCCCCAAACTACTTGGGATGGGGCTGTTACTTAAAGACTAACAAAACATTAGACACAACCGCCAGGAAAGCTCATGATACCATCTACATGTTTTATTAGTCTTTAAGGTGCTACTAGACTATTTGTTGTTTTTAAAGTTTTCCCAAAGGCACCCAGGGGTGTTATGCAAATTTCCCAAGTTACTGGGTGAGGGCTCATGTTGGATGGATGGATGGAGAGGAACCCCTACGTATTGAAACTGGCCCTGACTGCCGCTGGCACTACAAGGTGGAAGGGTTACATACAGGTTGATTATGGGAGTTGATTATATTATTAAAGGGGGTTTCATAAAGCAACCTCATATGATTACCTGAAACAGATGAAGTCAAAGTTACGAGTATAAAGCCTTGCCATGAACATAGCCAAATCATTGGCTTCTGACCCACTGTTAGTCAGGTAAACCACCTAAGGAAGAATAAATAGCACTTCAGTAATAATCTCATTATACTGAACATTTACTTTGTTTCACAATGGCAAATCTAACTAAATGTAGCTGTTTAAAGCACCAATTTTTCTGCAATTTACCTTCAAAAAGTTTGAAACGCTGAGTGCACGTGTTTACTCGGCGCTTGGAACAATATCCTGTCACTGACAAAAGGAACTTTAATCTGAAATACACATAGTAATGCTCATGTGCTGTGTATGAGGGTCAATGGCAAGATGTCTCTTTATAGGTTATGCCTACACTGGAGATGGAAGGTCTAAGTTCCAGCTCGAGGAGACATACCTGCACTAGCTCTGAACAAAGGAAAAAGTGCAGTGATGGTGGCAAGTGGAGCTAGCCATATGGAGTACAATCCCACTCAAAACTCTAGGTACATATTCAGGTGTCTCATATATACTGTGCTTTCAACCCGCTATTTAAAGTAGTGTCAGGGGGCCAATGAGGCCAATGAGGACTTATCTACACTACTGGCTAAATTGGCACCACTGAAATCGATGCACTGATGTTGATTTAGCAGGTCTAGGGAAGATATACTAAGTTAATGACAGAGCGCTCTCCACGGAGGTCTGTACATTCCTTCCCCAAGAAGCAGAGGCTATGTTGAAGGAAAAGCATCTCCTGTCGACACAGTACAGTGCAGACATCAATATAAATTGACCTAAGTTACGCTGAATTTAGTAACGTAACTAGCGTAAATGTAAATGAACTGGAGTAACTTAGATCAATTTACAGTGTTTGTGTACAACAGCCCTGACTAGTGTCAGGGACTACTGCTACTGAGTCTCCCAGCTAAACTGACTGTAAAACACAAAGGATTTAAAAACATTTCTCTCACTCTGTTGCTGTATACAGGCAGTCCCCGGGTTACATGGATCCGACTTACATCGGATCCCTACTTACAAACGGGGCGAGGCAACCCCGCACTAGCTGCTTCCCCCCCAGCAGACCAGGGAGACACGAAGCTAGCGTCCCCCCCCCCCCCCAGCAGACCAGGGAGACGCGGAGCGGCTTTTCTCAGCAGACACCTCAGCTTGAGAATAAAGGACTGAGGGAAGTGAGGTGTGGGAGAATAAAACTGAACTCTGGAGAAATGTTTGGCTAGAGTTTCCCCTACAATATGTACCAGTTCCGACTTACATACAAATTCAACTTAAGAACAAACCTACAGTCCCTATCTTGTACGTAACCCGGGGACTGCCTGTACATGAAAGTTTCCTTTGTTTACATGAATTCAATAGATTTAATGAACATGACTATATAAAACTTCTGTTAAAGGTACCATGTAAACAAACTGGGGGGAGGGGAGAAATCAAGCCAAGTAAACTTAGGTGCTAATTGTAACAATAGTATGCAAAACATTTTTCAACTTATGAGTGATTTTTAAATTGAGAGTGCCCTTACAAGAGGAAATTTGAAGAGAAAGTGTCTCAGGCAGTAACGATCCAAGTAGTGGAGTAGGGAAACAGTTTAAAGCTCTGAGCTCATTGCAAAGATCAGCATTGTCCTGAGAAAAGGAGGTTACTCACCTCGACAGTAACTGATGTTCTTCAAGATGAGTGCCCCGTGCTCCACATTAGATCAGCGCAGGATCCTAAAGCCACCTATTGGAGATTTTAGAGCAGTGTCCCTGGTGCCGCACATGCGTGCATCTGCAGCCATGAGCTCTTGGGAGGCAGGCATTGCGCATGCGTGAGCCCCCTGCCTCAGTTCCTTTTCTACCGCGGAACGATGCCAGTGAGAAGGCCAGAATTCCAAGGCAGAGGAGAGAAAAGGGAGGGTGATGGAGCACCCACGTGGACACTCATCTCAAAGAGCATCAGTTACTGTTGAAGGAGAGGAGGTTACTCACCTCCTCTTCTTCAAGGGAGAGGTCCCCGAGGGTCTCCACATTAGGTGACTACAAAGCTATTCTGAATTAGAGAGGTAGGGACTTTGCATCTGGCAGAAAAGCAGTGAAAAGGACGGCCTTTCCAAATTTTAGGTTGGAGAGAGGTCCTTGAGTAAGTGCATAGTGCTTTGCGAAAGCGTGGTCTGAGAATTAGGTAACAGCTGAACAAGCATCTCCTATGGGTACTTTGTGGAGGAACACTTTTGAGGTAAACATGGCTCTAGTGAAGTGTGCCTTTATGGTGTCTGGAGGGATCACTGTGACTGGGAGTAGCAGAGATTAATACAGTCTGAAATCCAAGGGAGTGTCTTTCTGACTGGGAGTAGCAGAGATTAATACAGTCCGAAATCCAAGGGAGTGTCTTTGTGATGAGAGGGCCTGGCCCTTATTTTGGTTCACTATTGACAGTCTCAGGGATGCTCGAAAAGGCCTAGTTCGTTGTAGGCAGGCTGAGAGCACTCTGCATAGGTCAAGAGTGTGCACTGTTCTCTTGAAGGAGTTGGTGTGGGGTTTGTGGAAAAAAGGTAGAAAGGTGTATTGTCTGATTGAGGTGGTAGGATGAGTGTACCTTAGGGAGGAATTTGGGGTAGGTACATAGAATCTTTAAAAAAGGTGGTGTATGGGGGAATCCATCATCACAGCTGTGATCTCTCCCACCCATCTCACCAAGGTAATGGCTATGAGAAAGTTGTGTTGGTGGGGTGATAGCAGGATAAAGTTCTTGAAGGCCTTTTAAAAAGCTCTTAGGGTACGTCTACACTACAGCGCTAATTCGAACTAACTTAGTTTGAATTAGTTAATTCGAACTAAGCTAATTCGAACTAACGCATCTAGAACTAAAAACTAGTTCGAATTAGCGTTTTGCTAATTCGAACTAGCGCGTCCACATTAAGTGGACCCTGAACCAGGCTTAAGGATGGCCAGAAGCAGTACCGGCAGGGCATCAGAGGAGGACTTAGAGCGTGGAGATGCTGTCTCAGGCTAGCCGAGGGCTGTGCTTAAAGGGTCCCGACCCCCACCCCGGACAGACAGTTCTCAGGGGTGCCCCACTTGCAAAGCAGTCCTGGCTTGGAGTGCCCTGAGTGCCCACACTGGGCACACCACAGCACTCGGCCATCAGCCCGGCTGCACTTGCCGCAGGTTGCCATCTGGGGAGAGGGGGCAATTGGGGGGCTGCAGGAGAGCTTCCAGCCCCAGAAGCCCGCAGAGCCAGCTCAGTCCTCCCCATCGGGGGCTCATGCCCCATTCCTCCCTCATCTCCTTCCACTTACCCTTCCCTAGCCCCTCTTCTTGATGTACAAAATAAAGATAATGTGTCTTCCAAAATGGAATCTGTCTTTATTGAACAAAACTGGGGGAGACTGGGAAAAGGAGGTGGGAGAGGGGAAGAGAGAGGCTGGGAGAGGGGAGGGCAACTAAAATGATCAGGGGTTGGGAACAGGTCCCCTATGAAGAGAGGCTAAAGAGACTGGGACTTTTCAGCTTAGAAAAGAGGAGACGGAGGGGGGACAGGATAGAGGTCTCTAAAAGCAGGAGTTGGGTGGAGAGGGTGCATACAGAAAAGTTCTTCATTAGTTCCCATAAAGAAGGACTAGAGGACACCAAAGGAAAGGAATGGGTAGCAGGCTTCAAACTAGTAACAGAAAGTTGTTCTTCACAAAGCAAAGAGTCAACCTGTGGAACTCCTTGCTGCAGGAGGCTGTGAAGGCTAGAACTGGAACAGAGTTTAAAGGGAAGTGAGATCACTAGTGTAGCACCTATGAAAGTTAGTTCGAACTAACATCCGTTAGTTCGAACTAACTTTGTAGTGTAGACATACCCTCAGTGAGAGAATGTACAAATATCAATGAATCATCTAAAAGTGGAAGGTAGTAATGGCAGTGAGATGGACTTTAATGGAGCTTATTGCAAAGCCCGCTTGTTTATGATGCAGAAGATAATTCAGGATGACAAGTGAGGAAGATGTTGAGGGTGCTACCTGGCGGTGTACGCACCATGCAGAGAATCTCTTCCATTTTTGAAGGTAAGTCTTATGGGTGTTCTATGCCCTACTGTGTAGAAGGACTGTGTGTTCTTTTTGTGAACCAGCCAGTTCTCTCTCAGAGAACCATCTAGGAGCCACGCCTCCAGGTGTAATGAGTCGAGGTTTAGTTGGGCGGCGAGGAGTCCCGGGGGAAGGAGATCCTGGCTGTGTGATAAATGGATTGGTGGCACACGCGACAGCCTCATTAGAAAGGGAAACCATGGTTTACGTGGCCATGATGGAGCTATGAGAATTAGGTGTGTCTCTCCTTGCCTCATGGACTACCCTGTTCAACAGGTCTATGAGGGAAAACATGTATAGGAGGTGAAATGACCAACTGATGAGAAAGGCGTCTCCCATGGACCCTTTGCTGATGCCTGCCCGTGAGCAGTATAGGTGACATTTTTTGTTGGATTGTGTGGTAAATGGATCTATGGTAGGGTAATCCCATTGTCTGAAAATATGTAACAATATTTGGGTTTATTTGCCACTCGTGGTCCGTCAGTCATGCTCTGTTGAGTGCACCTGCCATCATGTTCAGGGTGCCCCGGATGGTGCACCACGGTAATGTTTATGCTGCATTTGCGGTACCAGTTCCAAAGTGCTATGACTTCTGTGCAAAGTGCTTGAGATTGGGTTTATGTAAAACACTACTACAACACTGCCTATGTACAATCTGACATGATTGTTGACGATGAATGGGCTATGACTTCTGTGCAAAGTGCTTGAGATCAGGTTTATGTAAAACACTGCTACAACACTGCCTATGTACAGTCTGACATGATTGTTGACAATGAATGGGTGGAATTTTGTGCAAGCATATCTGACTGCACGGAGTTCTAGTATGTTTATGTGTAGGTTCTTGTTGCTGTTGGACCACAACCCCTGGGCTGTGTGATGTCGTAGGTGAGCACCCCATCCTGTAAGAGATGCATCTGTCATCATGGAGACGGATGGTTCTGATGGACCGAAGGGACTCCGGAACAAAGGTTGAGTGGACATTGCATGGATTTCTTTACCAGTATTGGGAGCACTAGGGATTTGGACAG